GATCGGGGGCGCATTCCCTTCAGAAACAATGTAATCCACTGCAAGTTCAGCGGCTCAGATGTCGGGAGTAAATGACGACTGCTATGTTCATTATTACATCCAACAACAGAACACCTCAATCGCTTAGGAGTCATTCTTGTCTACATCTGCTCCAGCGGTGAAACAATGGCGGACTGATGACAGCTCACTCAGGGTGGGTCTAAGGTAAGACGCCAGTCCAGTCTGTGCTGAAATGCTAATGTCAGTCAAACTACCGTGGGAGGGGTCTGTCTGTGTGATGTCACACAGACAGGCATCTGAGATCGGCTCGATTTGAGAAACATTTAATGAGATTAAAAAAAAACACTGGGTGGATTTTTATCATTATAGGGTGGTTGTGTACACACACTGCCAACACACATTTCAGTTCAAACAACTTATAAAAGTGCATGTAGCATCCTATGACCCCTTTAAGCTAAACTGCACAACCCTCTACATTGCAAGTAAATCACTCGCATATGCGACTAAATCTTCACTCTGGGCGACTGAATGATGTCTAATATTAGCCACTGGCTAATAAATTCTCAGATTTTACTCGCCAGTGTGTGATTTTGAGGCTGAGTATAAGTTTAGCACAGATATATTTTAATTCGCCAAACATACTGACTGAGCGCTTCAAAGTTTCACTCTCCGTCAAGCGATCTGTGCTATTTTTAATTTCATCTCAATGGATGCGCAGTGCATCTGTGTTTGTGTATTTGGCGTACCTTAAACTCTAGTGTGAAGGCGCACTAGGGTTGTGCCGATAGACGATAGTATCGTGTATCGACGATAGTCAGAGATATTGCCTGTGGCTGATGCCTTTGACGATATCAAGACGATTATTATTATTATTATTATCAGGCTAGTAATACTATCTAATTAATATTAGGGCTTATTGGTTGCATTATATTTCTTTTTCAGCGTTTTTACAGTATTGCGCGTTTTAACCAATCAAACACAATTATGCTGAGCTTATGAATGCAATGGCCAATCAGAGGCGTTCAGATGAGTCATCACTGAAACAGCGGAGTTCCGTTGTTCAGCACGCACTGACTGAATTCTGACTCGCAAATTCTCTCATTATAAATAAAGTGTAGATCTACGTGCGATGTAACTATAAGAGATTTATTCATAATACAGTGTATATACACTGATTTTAACGGGAGTGTTTTTAAAGTGCATAAACTCGCGCTTTCACTTTCCCGCAATGAAACCAAGTAAATAATTACATAAATTAGCACGATAATATCGTTTATCGGCGATCTCACAGGCTGAAGATAGGACGATTTGAAAATTGAGCATATCGCCCAACCTTAAGGCGCACAACTCGCCGTCGCTTTCTCTCACTCATGCAAAGTGAGAGCGAGCCTTACTTACCATGCAGAATTGACGCGCTACATGTAAATGATATTCTTTGTTGTATTTTCCTGTCAAAATAACGTTCCTTTGACACGTTTTATATTGTTCTTATTAGTAGAATTCGTATATTATTATTATTATCTTATCAGTATTATTGTTAGTTTTTTCCAATTTTTTACAGGAACACTGAATGACCAAAAAACGCACCACCACCAGTAATAAGTTCAGTTAAAATTATTAATTTGCATTCATACATGGTTACCAAGTTTTAATTCTAATTACTAAACTTCTATTATTAAATAACACTTGATTGTCATATTATAATGCTTGACTGCTTGACTAAGAGTGTACTTTCAGATATTTAAAAAGCTGTGTCATTTTACAAACATTATATATATACACTGAGCAAAATTATAAACGCAACACTTTTGTTTTTGCCCCCATTTTTCATGAGCTGAACTCAAAGATCTAAGACTTTTTCTATGTACACAAAAGGCCTATTGTAGAGGGTTGCTGCATGAGCTGTTAAAAACAACAAGAGCATGTACTTACCTGTAGGATGCGTTGAATGATGGCAGGTGGGGCGATAAAACTGGACATGCTGTTTAAGACTTTCATAGTGAGCTCTTTTAATGCTGAGGAAAGAGAGACACAATCAGGACTGACTGAGCCCTCAGCTAAATTCATTATACACCAGTGCTTCTCTAAAGTCTGTGAAATTAGGAAACAATGACATTATTTTTATCAGTTTTAATTATTTTCATTTAAAAAAAAAACAAAGGAAGCTTTAAAGCACTGAATTATTGCCAATTTTGTATTTTCTATGAGGATTATGGTTAATGTATTTATTATCAAACTTCATTAAAAACCTAAAACTACTGAAAATCCAGTCTTCTCATGGTACTGTACTAGAAATAAGAAGTTATTGTTGGAGAAAAATGAAATAGTTAACAGAACAATCATTAGCTTATTCGGCCTTCAAGTGCACCTGGAAAACTCCTACTTCCAAGTTGGGTCATCATTATTACAAGAAGTTACGCATTCATGTTGAAAAATAATATGGAGGTATTCTATTGCTTTCTATATTTTTTTTATTACTTTTTTTTTAATAATTTTAATTTTTATCACTTATTAATGCACTATATCTACCGCAAACCTTGAAATTAGAAATAACCACATTATTTTGTAAGAAATGATGTAAAACATGGCAACTGAAATACAAAATGGAATATATATATATATATATATATATATATATGAAAAGATGCCTCTTCCAACATCACAACTCGACAACTTGGCAAAATTAATCTAGAATTTTGAGCTTCTCACTTGTAAATACAAATTCTCTTGTAAATGCAGAATTTCCGACTCCATTTGAAGGCTGTATAAATCTAATTTGTGACCCTGGACCACAAAACCAGTCTTAAGTCACTGGGG